ACTACCACTACCACTACCACTACCACTACCACTACCACTACCACTACTACTACTACTACTACTACCACTAACTAGTACTGCTACTGCTACTGCTACTGCTACTGCTACTACTGCTTGTGCTGCTGCTACTACTACTACTACTAATTGTTTTTGTGGCGGTGAAACTCTTCAGACCCCCTGGATTGTTTGCTAGGGGGACCCGTTATGCTAATGAAGATCCAACATTAGTTCTGACATACATCCACATCCCGTACTCTCTTATAGGATCTTATATGTACGGAAATCCATTCGAACATCTTCCTTTTTGCACAAAGCCTGCGTCCCAAAGCGTGCGTCACCTCCCTGCGTCCCCAAAAACACCACCGGCGGGTCGGTCGTCGGCACAAGGCCCAACGACCCGCCCACGGCGTCGGCCGCGTTCGGCGTCGCGGTGGGCGTCGCGGCGCCTCGCTATCTTCGGAGTCACCCGAGTCGCCCGAGTCACCTTCATCGTCGCCTTCATCGTGCCAAGGTACCTCACTGTGCGGATGCGGTGTCGGGAATTTGGGTCATGAAAGAGCAGCCAGGCAGTGTAAGTAAGGAAGAAGGGAGATCCATCCATGAATACTTTTATGTTGCGCTTGGAAAAATCCATTCCCAACTGCTTGGCGGTGCTCTTTTGGTTAAATATTTTTGGGTCTGATTAGTTGTTCGTGTGATGGGGATTTGTTCAATTTGGCCTGGCAAATGGACAAAGGAATCGGATTAGTGATTAGTCGTCCTCTTTCTCAACTCTGGGCCAATGTATTGTTAGTGGAAGTGCGCTACCAAAGAGGGATGACTTTGTATTTGGTCCCTTTTCGATCGGCACAACGGGTATGGTTGCTTGGCAGTTGCCTGACTTGAATGGTTTCTCTTCAGTCGCAGGCCGACATTAGCTTGGTGGACCACCCCTGATTCCCAGCCCATATGTCCCATCCCACGGAAGGAAAGGCTGCTTATCTTGATCCAATCTTCATATTGGATACACCACGTGGACCAAACTAAGAGGCAAAAGATGTGACCGGTGTTGTGCCAGGCGCACAGGTTGTCTGGGTACAACAAGTTTTTAGATACAAAAGCCAACCTACCCTCCACTATCTAAGATGTGCAAATCCCTTAGCCTCCAAACCCAGCCACACGGCAAACCCCAAGGGCTTTCGTTCGGGCCCAAAACTCAATTTGCCGCAAAGAATGAACCAACATGGACCAAGAAAAATCAATCACAAACGAATGTATACATTGGTATACAACAATGGATTCCAAGCACAAATGGATTCAAATCACCAATAATCACCAATAGCGATGATCCTTGATTGGCCTCCATAGACCCCACAGACACACACGGGCACGTCCTTTCTTCCTCCGCTGTGGATTCGATTCCCGCCGCCTTGTGTTTGATCTCCTCCATGGCCAGTGCCGCGGGGTCTTCCTCCGCGATCGCCTTGGCAGCGGAGTCAATCCCAGGGTCTTCGGGGTTGGTCGTGCTTTGTCAAGGTTTCTCATATGTTTCAGAATGTTTCAGAGGCTTTGATCAAAAGGGTATCTGGGTTTACATATTAAAAGCAACAACTACAACCTGTGGCTAGGTGTTCCAATGGCTGCACCGGTCTGTTCCAAAGCATTCAAGATTCAACATAGCATGTTTAAACCTACGACATATCGATCTATACACAGCCTACCCAAACCTACGTCATAACATCCTGTTTGTGGGGATGCCATTCAACTGTACCAGGCAGATGCATGTGCTCCTTACACACCACGGTTTCAGCCTTTCTGTCGCCTTCCTGTCCATGGATGGCAACGACGATACACAACGGTGTCAGCCGTCGCACCTCAGTCTCCTCCGGCTCTTCCTCCAACTCCTCCGAGTCCTCGCGGGTGCGTCGCCAGCTTGCGGAATGTGCGTAGCGGTGGACACCAAGAGTCTTCTTTGAGTCTACGAACGGTGCAAAGGGCCTCGCTACGATATAGGGGCTCCTGGCCTTACTACGAACGGTGTAAAGGGCCTCGCTACGATATAGGGGCTCCTGGCCTTACTACGAACGGAGCAAAGGGCCTCGCTACGATATAGGGGCTCCTGGCCTTACTACGAAC